GTTTCGGGGCTAAAAGCTAAATTTTTCAGGCTAAAAAATTTAGCTTTTAGCCCAAGGGTTGGAGATGGTCTAAGCCCCGGATCCATCAAAACAACAATCTGTACTTTTCTGACACAACCCTCGATTGTTGAAGATTTGGAGAAAAACAATTTCTCAAGGAATCCACATTTTCTCTTTTTTGCATCTTTCCTCTCCACCGAAATTCATTAGGAACTTTCTTCGTTTCCAATACATGGTGATTCAGTTGGAATGTTATTTATTAATTTCTTATATTTGAAAATATTTCTGGATTTACCTTTTAATTTTGTTATAGGTCAATTCTTCTCCGTGTATAATTTAAAGTAGGAATATTGCATGGATTCTCAAAAAAAATAAATATATATATATATATATATATATATTCATGGGAGAAAAATATACCACAACTACTGCCCCAAAAGGGCCACCATCTCTACGAGCAAGATTGTTGAGAGGAATATACCACCACCACCGCCCAAAAACGGCCACCACCATCCTCCATCACTCATCCCACTCTAGAAGATGTCTATTCTTAGAGGCACCAAACTTTAGGTGCTAGGAAGACTCTTATGACTTGTTTACTAATACATAATCGGAATGAAAGTGTAATTGAAATGAGGAGAAGTTAGAATGAGTTGGAGTGAGAATTATATTCTTGTCAAGCTGCTTACTAAAATTTATAGAGTGATACTCATTGCATAAAAATTCACATGAATTGAAAAGAAAACTAGTGTGATTACTAAAATACCATAAACTCGTGTGATTACTAGTATTAGTTAAACACACTACAATATTTGTTTTAATAAAAATTTAATTACCCTAAAAAAGTTTAATCTTTTTATTTTGTAATTCTTTTTTTTATTTAAGAGAACAAAACCCAGTACATGTCATCCCCTTTTTATGAGTTTGCTCCTCTCCCAACCTATATTCTTCTCCACTTCCCTTTGGAGCAACTCTACCCCTTAGGAAGCTAATTGTCCGGGCTATTATGCAATTGGTCATTATTGCCTTAATGAATAATAATCGCCCAAGGGTATCTCCACCCCTTAAACAAATTGTCTGTCCGCATAATTCACATAAAAATTATTTTTTAAAAAGTAATTAAAAATAAAATAAAAATTAATATTATTTTGTAACAATTTTTTTGAACTATCCATGTGACAACCCGTCCCTCATTTTACAATTTCATAAATTTTAAAATGTGAATTTACGAAAATACCCTAGAGACGAGGATATTGACTTGTGTTGACCAACGTATGGTGAGACGTACAAAATATTCTTTTAGCGTATTCTTAAAGTACTTGACTTTACAAATGTGGAGGCGCAATCGAAATCGAAATCGGAGCTACGATTAAAATTTTACGAAACATCGAGTATTGTAGACCAATTGATAAATTTCATAATTGGTTGATATTTTTTGTGGCTTGTTTTAGGGAGCCACGTGTGTGTGGTTGGGAAGGGAAACAAGAAGAGATGAAGAAGCGTGTTGGACAGAAAAAAAAAAAAAAAAAAAAAAGGAGGAGGAGAGTTACAGGAAAGGGTGGTGGCGAATCGGAAGAGGAGAGAGGAAGAGGCTGTCCAATGGAGAGAGAAGGAAATGAGGGGAAAGGAGAGAGGTGAGTGGCACCCAACCCAAACCTCTATTCCCCTCACCAGTATACCCACATACCCAACGGCAATGCCACTGGGTTCGAAGCAATTTTCAGCGATTCTTACCCATTTTTCAGGCGATTTTTATCCATTCACCACCACCAAACTTCATCATCATGTCCCAACATCCAATTCTAGCCAAAATGGACACGAATTGGTGGAGATTTCACGAAGAACACCCCGCGGGTGCCGCGGAAGACTTATCCAAAATCCACCAATTCCAAAATGTTTTTCTTCAATTACCGCCATCATTAGACCTCCCTTAAGGCTTAGAACAATGCCCAATCAGTGGTTGGAGCGTCGGAGTTGATTTGAGGACGAATCAAGAACACCCAAATTTTAGGGTTTCGACGGGTTCGAGACAAATTGGAGCCTTTCCCGGCCAAATTGGACTTGGTCACAAGTATAAAACTTGCTTTACTCTTAGAGATCTTCATTTCTGTAAAATTTGGAAATTTTTGGAAATAGTTGGATTTTTCCAATGAGTCAGGGCGGCCGACGGCGACGCTTGGCCAGGGGGTTATCGATGCTATTCTTAGGCTAATTATATGCCTTGAATTCAGTTCTGACAATAATAGGACGCATGTTGATCATTAGAACCTAAATTTTCTACAATAAGTGATTAGGTCATTATATGAATCGACGATCTGACCTTTGGATCGTCATCAAACTTTAATGGGTCGTGGTTCGTAATATTTGAGGATTATAGGAACTTACGGATTGGGAATCCGACACACGGATCTTTCCGAATTGGATTTGTAAGTTCGTAAAATAAAACGTTAACCGCCACTTGGTTTTGGTAATTGACGAAGATCCGACCATTGGATCGTTCTGAAACTTCAGGATATTATTCTAGAAGTATAATGTGCATCTTTAGAAGTAACGGATCTGAAATCCGTGATGCGGATCTTCCGAGTCGAATTACGTAGGGTTGTGTTTTACGTAAATTATGTGTTCTATTGTTATAAATTCTGAGGTGTGATTTGATAATTGCCTAGTTGCCGATCATTCATGACGCCTCGATATGCGTTCTAGGGAATTGTAGGGTGAACTCCAGGTGAGTGGGTCTTCTCCTTTTGATCGTGTGTATATATATACATACATATATATATATATATATATATATATATATATATTTTATGTGATTGATAATTCCACAAATACTTTTAAATTGATTTATGCATATTATATACATATAACTACTGTCAATGCTTTAAAGTATTAAGTTGAACTACGAATAGCTTGATCCCGTTTAAGGGTACGTAAGTAGTCTAACAAGTCAGTTAGATGCAGCCATAAAACAATCCGAATTTAACGGGGTACTTGATTTCTCTAAGGAAAGAAGTTATGATGGTTAACAGCGTAGAGATTAACCATGATTTTATTTTGGCCTATCACTGGGTTTAGTTCCGATTAAGAATGTTGGAACGTTAAAGTGGTTATGCCAAACGACTTTGCGGACATCCAGGTAAGATTTAGGTGAGTACATGTTGATGATAGTAATTGCAGTGTGTATGGTTATGTTTATATGCATTTAATGCTCATTATTCTACATCTCGGTGTTAGTGCTTCGCCCAAAGATAGGGTCTAGCCTTCACGTGATCGTTCACCTCCCGCACCATACGCTCACTTTGGATCCAAGGTATGTGTCAGCCTGTCGTACAAACCACATTAGATGGTTCTGACTCATATGTGACTTTCGATACTTCGCACAACCTTCACGTGATCGTAGCACTTAAGCGTATTTATTTACACCTAACCTGTCGTACAAATCACTATAGGTGACTCCAACTTATATGCTAGCATTGATTGATGAGATATGGGTGCAGTCGTATAGGTCACCATAGGTGACTCCGACTTGCGGGCTAGTATGAATTATTAAGCACATGATTGTTTATATTGCTGATGAGATGTTGGGCTGTGGTATACTTCTGGACTTATTGTTAACACACATTTGATTTCATTTTTATACATAGTATGATTTTCTAGAAATTATACAATCTTACAGAGAGGGGTTATTATCTTTGATAATTGAATGGTTTGAAAAGTTTTGTTTTTGCCATTCACATTTTCTGTTTTCCGCCCCTTCAAGTTTAGTATCTGAGCTTCCGTATCGACGAGGATTATCGGCATATTCTAATATAGGTGACTACCTTTGATGGTATAATTCTTATCTTACTCTACTGTACTTTACGTATACTCTGTAATCATATGTGAAATGGGTTCATTCCCGCTCACAGCGCACTCAATATTAGACATATTTAAGTTTTAAATTTATTCACATTTTCATCATCACTACACTTTATGGTTGCGTCACATTCCAAGTGTCGGCCAGCACAGCTCGATCTGAAGTCTTACTGGACTTTCCGGGTCTGGGTGTGTCAACCCCACTCTCCATCCTTTTCACTATCAATTTCTCCATCCTTCCTTTTCTTCGTCACGTGTAGAGACTGCCAACGTCGTCCAAGTTTATTGCCTATAGGCAAAGTCGCGTCACCAACCGCCGGCGAATTCTCTCCTCCTTCTCCTTCTCATTCCCTCCCATCGGCGAATTATATCTTCCTCCTACTCCCTCGACTTCGAGCTTGCCAACGACAGGTCCTGGTACACAAGGTCGTGGTCCTTGTACACAAGGCCGGGTTCCGAAGCTCGCCCCTCGCTCCGTCATTCCTCTCTCCATCCGTTCCTCCACTTCATCTTCTAAGCCGAATTTCTGGACCGCAGAGAAGGTGGACTCCTCCCTCGACCACTGTTTTATACTGTTGCACCCTCGTCTACAATTTTGTTTGTCATATGACGTCATGATGACATCAACATAAAGTTATATTGCGCAGAGGCGGCAAGAGTTGTCACACCCAAATACTTAAGGTGTGACATTAAGAGAAATAAATAGTTCAAAGTGATCGTTTAAGGGTATAAAACAAATATTAGCTTAAGATTTAGTCAATGAAAATTTAAACTCGACAATTACATTACTCCATACTACAAAGGTAACTCAAAGAAATAAAGTTAAAGACTTAGTGTGGTAATACAAACTGTAGGAACGACCTGTACCGTAAAATTCACCGAAAAGAACCCGTTTAACCAAAAACTACAAAAATTTCCAGATTCAAAGTAGACACCTAAAACGAAGTTGTGTTAAAATTTTAAGGATTTTCAAGTTCGGGAAGTTTAGGAAGATTTAAATCTAAAACAGGTATGCTGTTGTTTTTCTAAAAAAAAAACAATTTCAGCAGCACCAAGTCACTTTGGAAATAAAACTGATTATGCTCCAAAGAGTAAAAATCTGAAATTTTCAAAATGCAACCTATGTAGTAGATAATCAACCACAATTTTAAACATAACCCAGTTCATAGTGGTTCTCCAAAGGCAATTCATTAAGCCTTACATATTATAATAAGTTCACAAAAGACCTTCAAAGCTTCTTACAAGAAAAACATGTTCAGGTCATTTGATGAAAATGTACATAAGCATAATTTATACAAGCCAAAAGACAAGTGACCATATATACATAGTTTTCATTGCCCAGGTAAGTAAAGACACTAACCCATTGTGGCCTACACCTTTTTAGTCTACAACGCAACAAAAAGATCATTTACAAACTAAGACTAACTATACAAATACTTTGGTAGCTCACCCAAAAGATATACGTCTGGACTCCCTTCTATTAGTCCAAAATAAAGCTGCAACTCGAAACCCAATTGGTCAACCCTACACCACCTGAAAATACATATTTAGAAAAACGGGTGAGCATAAAATGCCCAGTAAGGGTTTTTCGGTAAGTCCATAGTCATTTAAAATTTCTGGTGCATGCCTAAAAATGATAAGAGTGATTCGAAACAGTTTATATCCACCACTACATAATCCAACAATGGAATTATGCTCTAAAATGCTTGGAAGTAACATATGGTAGGAAAACCAAAGTTTTAGAGCATAAACAGCTTTGATAACAACACGGTACAACACACAGTTCAGAAACATTTCTTTCGTCATAATGACAACAAAGCCATTATTATTAAAAGAAACAATAACACAACTGATCACAAAGTTTCTCTTTTATCCCAAACAAGTGATTAGCAGATTGGAAAGAATCGTAATATACCTGGCCAACATATATACCACACATATCTGTCACATTGATAACTCATTCTTATAGCCCACACATGAAGCTTTACCTGGGGAACATTGGGTCATTGTACCCATAATCTAACAATTTCACGGGTCATTGTGCCCATTCATACATTCCTCAACATTCTCAATTTCACAAGTATTATACTACTTTCATCTATTTTCACAATTTGAACATTCATGTCAAGATGCTTTAGAATTCGATAATAACTAAAATAAGAGGCATGCACGTTAAAAACACAATCTTGAAAAATCATTGCAATCACTTTAAACTCACCAAAGTTGTAGGTATGAAATTAAAATCATTAGAATCAAACCATAGAGAAACTTTTGCTTCACTTCTTTCACACAATCAAAAATAGAAAAAAAAATTAAGTAAGCTTGAAACAGTGCTTAAATGCCAACAATCCTTTATCAAGTAAAAATGAAAATATTTTTATGGTTAGAACTCCCCTACCTCAACATAATTTCGTGATATTCAACTCCCATGGTGTTCGCCAACTTGTTCAGTAATCACCTTGTCCTTCTCTTCTATATCTATAAGTAAGAAAAATCATCACACACTGCTCATACAAAAATACCAGACAACATACCCTAATTCAGGGTTAATTGGGGACTTTAAACAAACACTTGGTGCTCATCTCTAAAACTATAACATGCAATATGGTACTTTCATGTTTCCTACTCCCACCCAAACTAGTTCATGGGTTATCAAACTAAATATCAAATAGATTTCCAAGGTAAGAAATAGAGATCTCTAATGGAGACAAACAAGGGATCCTCACTTGTACTAATCTTCACAAATAGAGGAAAAGAAACTAAATTTCTCTTCCTTAATTTTCTTTTTGGAAGTTTAAGAGCTAAAGGAGAGGAATTTCTTCATCTCTCTCGGCTGGAGGAGAGAGCAACAAAGGAAGAAGGTTTTCCAGAATGTGCTCAAACCTTTTCTCCTTACTAACAAAAGCGTCCCTTTTTATTCTTTATTTTTATTTATTTTTATTCTTCTTTTAGTTCTTTTATTTTCAAGCCAAGGCTTTTCAATAGTAAGAGAACTTTTAATGGGCCAATGGCCAATTGATCCAAACCTCAAACAAGGCAAATTAATTTTGCTAATAATGGCCACAAGCAATCCATTTTTAATCAGTGCTTAAAATTTTCAGAATATTACAAGAGTGGCCTAATTTCTAAGTCTCTGGAGTTAGGCCCATCGAATAGCAAAGGTGATTGGGGCGGGCTGGAGCAACTTTTGTTGGGCAGGGGGATTTGTTAAGGCAAGGATAAGGCAAGGTAAAGGAAAGGGCAGTGAAATTACCCTTACTATTATTCACTCTAAATAATATTTGTCATTGTACAAGTTCATCCGTTTAAAAAGTAAAAGGGTAAGAACAAGGGTGATTACTGTTTATAAATATATATTTTTATTTTGTATGCCTTGTAAGTATGTACTTAATAAGCTTGTTCTTTGGAAATAAAACTCTCTATTTAAAGCATCTTGGCTAGTGAAGGGCTTGAAGTCAACCGAGAGAAAAAAAACATATATGGAGGGGATAGTGTTAATTTGTGAGTGTTTTTTTTTTTTGAACAAAAGATATTACCTACACTAAGGGGGGGAGTGGGCATCTTTGCTAGTGAAGGGCTTAAAGTCAGCGGAGAGAAAAAAAAAACATATATGGAGGGGATGGTGTTAAATTGTGAGTGTGTTTTTTTATTTTTTTTTATATTACCAACACTAAGGAGTGGGGAAGTGAGTTAAGCTTTACACTGAGTTAGCCATAATAACGTGGTTCCAATTCGCATTTGTTGAAAATTGAACCTAAGACTTCTTACTTACAAATGATGAGGAATACCACTACAAAATAGTATTAAGTGGCAAATTGTGAGAGTGTTTCAAGATTATAATAAGTGTGAGGGTATCATCGGTAGAAAATATTGATTTCTGTTTATCTTTTCTCCGGAATCCAAACATCACCCCTCATTATGTAATCTAATTATGAGAAATTTGAAAATTTGATTACTGATATTTGGTGGACCGTACTCATTTTCATCCAGGAAATGATAGTAAACATTGGAAACCTTTGCAAGGAGTGTGATTACCCTACTTTCCACTCTATTCCCGTTTGCTAAACGCGACATTGGTTTTTACAACCTTCAAATCTAAGCTATGGAGATGGAGTATACATGTTATCGGGTTTCGGGTGCATGCAACGCTTTTGCTATTTTGATTCAAAAATAATATAATTTGCATGCACTTGTTGGCCAGTTATTGAAGGAACTAGACTACATCAATGAAGTTATGTGGTTGCAATTTCTTGCTCCAATGAACTTCAAATTGATCAATTGACAGCTAATGGACTTGTAATTATGGACAATAATTGAATGGAACTGTTATTAGCACTCCAAAAATCTCATTCTACACTCTTTCCAAGTGTATTATTCTTTCTGATTATAGAAAGTTTTTTAGTATAACGATATATTTTACACTAAGGAATAAGAAGAGGAAGAATTTGGCTAAGCCACACAATGTACAACTTAATTTGGTATTAAATTTACCGTTTACGAGATTGGAACCTAAGACTTCTCACTTACAAATGAAGAAATATACCACCAGATTTTAAGATTTTTGTAGTATCAATTACAAATCTCTAATTGAAAAGAGATTAGTCTATTTCGTGAAGCAATTAAGGTCATTCATAAATGAAGAAATTTACAGTACGACATAGAGACCATACATGAAAAAATGATCCCATGTATGAATATATAATCTGGATCTATTCACTAGTAACTTCCTCATGTTGGATAATTTCAAAGGGAAAGGGTGAATCTATTATTGAATTTGGTGGTATTTGACCTCTTGAAACATCTTATTCATTTTTTTTCTTGATACCAAATAAAATTTTCTAAAATAATTGTATATCCTATAAGGTCAAACAAAGGAGCATTTTTAGCTAAAGTAGTAATGATGCAGTCTCCCTGAAGACGGTGGCATCCGAAAGTGTACCCTAAAACCGCAATGACATCAGCTAAGAAGTTCGCCTCCACAGACACAGATTTCTAGGAAATTGAGTTGAAAATCCTCGCAACAGAGCTAATGTTAGCAAATCATCTTTAGTCTCCAAAATGTAGAGCACCGACGACAAAGCAGTCTAAGATTAATTTGGAGCGCCCTTTTCACGCATAATTTTGTATGCTGATATATTTATCAATTTGAGAGCATCTCTTAAGGCCATAACTTCAACAACTAGTACAGAAGCCTCCCTCAAATTTCAACAACTATGATGAAGCCCTTAGCAGTGACACTAAGCCATCAGAGTTGATCTCCAACAGATACACTAAGCCATCAAAGTTGATCTCCAACAGATGTCTTGCGCTGGTGACATTTTATAGCGCTGATAAAAATAAGATTTGCAAATCCTTCCCTAATGATGAAACCCACGACAACAATGCTATTCTTCCCTAAGTCATCAAAGTTTATCTTCAAAATATTTCTTTCATTTTCATTTATTGACTACAAGTGTCACAATCTCAAATATATATTTTTTAACACATGATATTATCTATTTGGGAGCAGCCTCTCCATAAATGGGGGTAAGGTTAGCCGACATTCACCTCTCCCAGACCCTGCGTAAAGCGGGAGCCTTGTTCACTGGGTACGACCTTTATGATATTATCTATATTAAGGGGGAGGTGAACTTAGTCTCACAATGAGTTAGTAACAATGTGGTTCAAATTCTCTTTTGAAGAGAATCAAGTTTAAAACCTCTTATTTACAGATGAAGATAAATAACACAATATCGTAATAATAAGTGACTGTCACAATTTCAAATATGACCAATTAAATGGCAAGCCCAATTGGACCAACGACACATAAGGATGTTGGGCTAAATGAAAGAAAATAGAGGTTGGTCTAAAAAAGCATTTGGATTGAAGTTAATAAGATAGTAAATAAATAACATTAATAATAGTGTAAACTTCATATAAGTTAAATTTTGTGAAGAGTAGTGCTACACTCGTTTATTATCATTTGTTTTATCTTTTGAATAGAAGTAAAATTCATTAACACATGTAGATCTTATCTTTATTCAAACGAGTTCACTCCATTAAGGCAATAATTGCCCCGTCAATTGGGCAAAAACAACTATTATCTTAGTGAATAATAATTGTCCCAGTGAATTTTCACACCGAAAAATAAATTGTCCGGACAATTAGTATTAATTTTTTTTTAAATATTGTTTTTATTATTTTATCATTAAAAATATCTTCTATCTACAAGTCATCGTCTCTAGAAACCTCCAGTGTCCGACCCTCTTCCCTTTTTCCATCTCCTCATCTTCTACGCCCATCCTTTTCTCCCTCACCTCTGTTTTTTCCCAGGCTTTTTTCCCACTCCACACCAACACAGAAAGTTTAATCACCCAATTCATCTATAAGACGCCTTGCATCCTCATCTATGACTCGTCGAAGAATAAAAGGTTTGCTCAAGATCGTCGTCTTCAGTTGGAATGAACAGCGACTCGTCTGATAGGTGGAGGAATCCGGCGTCGTATTTCAGTTTCCAGAGCTTGATTCGTGTTCAGTTGGAAGCAAGGTATAAAATATCGATGATGTCGGAAATATCGGTAGTCTAAAAATACGGAAATTTCAATGGAAATATCGAGATATTATCGATATCGATAAAAATTGAATAAAAACTACAGAAATTGTAAGAAAAAATTTGGAAATTTTTATTGAAACTTTGCAGAATGTTATTTAGTCAATTATCTATTAGTTTATCACAAAAAATTGGAAGGAAATGCATTGCCGGATAGAAATAACTGATTGAAGTTGATTATATAACGAGCTGGCAAACATTATGAGTGTAGAAAATATGTAGTAATTAATAAAAGAAATTTAAACACATCATAATCATTTATATATAATGAATTAGTACAATATTTTACACTTTATACATTGTATGGTAAGATATATGAGTGACTTAGTAATGTCTAAAATATCGATGATATTGAAAATATTGGTAGTTCAAAAACATAAAAATTTTAATGAAAATATCAGAATATTATGAATATTTTAGACATGAAAGGAATAACGACCTAATTGATTGGTCGTCGGAGGGTGAGGCATCAGGCGTTGGAAAAAATATATAACCTAGATCACAGCAGGTTGATGTCATGTCGCCTCAAGCAGACAGACGGGCGAGAGTGTTGGGCCCACTGATTGCCCCACTGATTTTTTATGGATTGGAGCTGTGTTTGTTGAGTTTGGTGAGATTATTTAATAATAGAATATATGTGTTAAAAAGTTAATAGCTTAAAAAATAAAATTTTCTATCACTTATATAAAAAATACATGATGTATTGCCCGTGTTTCGGTAACAATGAAAAATATATGGTGTATCATCCGTGTTCCGATTACTAATAGGTAGGGCAATTGGATGGAGTGAAGATCCTGCCGGATCCTCTTTGTGAGGATTCCAGGGATTCTCCAATTACATTCGTTCATCATACATTATGCAACCAGTTTTTGTCAAGTATTGTTTATATTCAATTTTAAATAAAAAAAATTACAATGATTCCTGACTGCATGATGTATAATGAACGAATGTGATTGTAGGATTCCCAAGATCCTCACAAAGAGGATCCAGCGAGGATCCTCCTGGAATTGGATGGGGTGAGTGCTCTTAGAGAGATAGTAGAAATAGATGGTAAGAATATTATTTTTGTTTTGTAAATCATTAATGGTTTTAATCCACTTTATTGGGTTAGGTCTATTCACTAACTATGGACACCAGCTTTATTTTTTAAGGAATTGTTAGTGACACTCCAAAAATTTTATTTTATACTCCTAACAAGTATATTTTTTTTCTTCTAAGTTCATGAAGTTTGGAGTGTGAATAACAATTTCTTTTTCTATAATCTTTTTATTAAATTGTAATAAAAGTCATTCATTATTTATAAGTTTATCTTTTACTCAATTT